TCGACACACCTAAGTACAAATAATAATATGAATATATTCTAAAGAAAACATGAGAAAAAAATAATGTAATTAGTATTTAAAAAAATAATAAATAAGCTGAAAAATAGCCGCTGAGCCCGCCTAGGCGCCACCTGTCCGATTTTTTTTGTCGATTTGTTCTAGGCGTCGCCTAGGCCGATTTTTAGAACAGTGCTATTAGTACATCACTACAGGAATAAAATGGGAAATTCCAACGGAAATATATTCCGATGGAATTCCAACGGCAATTCCAATGAATATTCCAATGGATTCCAACGGAAATTTCAACAAAAATTTTTCGTTGGAATGAATTGTCCCATTGGAATTTCTGTTGGATTTTAACGATTCTAACGGTATATTTTCCAACGGTTGAAATAAGTGTGAAAAAAAATTCCAACGAAAATTGTGTATTCCACGGAAATTCCCACTTCCTATCTCTCCCTTTTAACTGCTCGAACATGCTCCCTTCTAGCATTATTGGAATCCCTATCTATTGGGCCACTCGAAATCATGTAGATAGTGCCCCTCTTAACTGGGGTTGCTTCCTCCTGCTCATTTGACCTCCTACTCTCCTTTCTCGTTTGTTATATTCTTCCCTTCGACCGCCTCGACCTTCATCCTCCATATCCTAATCCTCATCCTTATCATTCCTTTCGACTGAATCTTCCCTCCATGATGTAGGGAAGCCTACGAGTGGGACAATATTAGATCTCAATCTCAAGAACACCTCAACACATATGAGCTCTTAATTAATTCAATAATCAACTTCAAATGAATAAAACAATAGATGGAGAGCCCTTTAAATAAGACTCCTAAACCATATTCCTGACTTGTCTAACAAGACAACATTTTTTATTAAGTATTAAATAATAATATTAAATTCTAATAATAGTAATAATATAATAATATCTGCATCATTCTCTCCCCGTTCAGAAGGTTCACCCTCGAAGCCACACCAAATGTGGCAACATCGGAGTCGTACCAATGGAATTCATTGCTCGTCATTTCCCCTTATCAAACACGAAGGTGGAAGGTCGCCCAATAGTTATAATGGTAAACATAATATTGGGCAAGGACGTAACTGTAGCAAAGGCAATTTTACACGCCCCCATACTCATAAAGCACCCCACGGAATTAACACCATCATTACCACATCGTCCGTCGGCCTCAAATTCATAATTACGGCCAAACATTATGTTGTCAGAAGATTTCATTACAGACAATCGGAAAATGTCCCAACAACTTTTGAGACCCGTCCTCGACTCTAAAAAACCGTCCATGTCCAAGATACTCAAAAAATTGGGTCTGACCGATGGTTTTCTATTCGAAGGTTCAACCACTGCAACGTTCCATGCGGAGCCTATATCACCGCAATTATCTGTCTCTATCACCAGAGGTTCTTCATAAAAAATATGCGGACATTCGTTCAATGTCCCGTCAATTTGCTCTCGGTCGAATTCGAAGATATCAACACGAAACGGGCCCTCTCATTGACCATATTCGCAATCACGTCGCCCATCCCGCCGGACATGATATCCACAGGCGAAGGCAGTCTCCTCGTGCTTGCCTCTTTCGTCGTGTTGATTGTCACCGTCCACGAAGACCGAGCCACGTTGCCGCATGTCACAGCCACCGTATGCAGTGAAAGGGTCAACCTCGACGTGCGGGGGCGAATAATCTCCAAAAGGATTCACCTCTAAGATTTTCGCCTCGCCGTCTTCGTCACCGGACGGTAGTTGTGGAGATCTCCGGCGGGGCGCCCGCCTGGACTACGACTTCCACGTATTCCGAGAATTCCCCCGCGCACGCCTCGATTGTCGGCGTCGCAGTTCGTATGCATATCCTCAACCCAACGATCCAATTAATTGATCTGGCGTCTGAAGCCTGTGGCTAGTTGACCTGGATGCTCAACAATTAATTGATCTGGCGTCCGAAACCTGTGGCTAGTTGACCTGGATGCTCAATGATTGCGTCACGCCCATTGTTATCATCTATTCGAGGCGGCATATTAAGTCGTGCTAACTTATGATACCAACTGATGTAGAAAAGTGTACGAGTGAGACAATATTAATGAGATTGCAATCTCCTCAACACATGAAAATTCTTAATTCATTCAATAATCAACTTAAACTAAATAAAACAATAGATGGGAGCCCTGTTGATATCCGGATCAGTCCGACCGGAAATAACCGATTCGGTCATAAAAACCGGGGAGAGCCGGCCCTAGGAATAGGGCCGAGCAAAGAACCGACGGCAGGTGCCGAGCTGACTTGAGCCAAGAGTCGTCGGTGACGATGTCCCACATACTTACAAAGATCGGCACTTATCAGACCGCCTTGGGGTGCCGACCTAGCCAAGAGCCGGGCCGATTAATGGATTCCCTAGGCTTTGGGGAAGCTTTTGTTGTCTAAGCTTGATAGTCGGAGGAGAGCGGCCCTAGGATCAGAGCCGGGCACAAAAATTATATAATACTACCACTTGCTAACTAATGATTGCTGATTACCTGACTTTGGTGCTTGCAGATAAGGATGCTGGGAATGTTGAATCCTTTTTTATTTTTAGTCACAATTTAGTAAATATCAATGTAAACACCTACTTAAAGGACTAACTAGTAAAGGTATTTTGGTGGCATAAAAGATCAAGATTTTCTTTCTTATTGTGTTTTATTTGGAGCTGGGGAATGAATCAATGAGTGTGGTACATTTTGTATTTTTATCTGTGTATTTGATGTAGGGAAATAAACGAGTATTTGATGCAGGGAAATAAACGAATGTGAAGGATAAAACGAGTAAACGAGATACTCTCTCGTAAAACACGTAAAACGAGATACTCTCTCGATAAAACTCACAATATCAATTCATCTTTTATTCATAATTAACTGAACAAAACAATAGATGAAGAGCCCTTTAAATAAGACTCTTCAATATTATTCCTAACTTGTCCAACAAGACAAGATCTTTAATAATATCTAAGCCTAACTTATTCTCCAAGATAATAATAATTAATAATTAATAATAATAATAATAATAATAATAATAATAATAATAATAATAATAATATAATAGCAATAATAATAATACTAATATTATTCTACACCATTCTCCTCCGGTTCGGAAGGCTTCGCCCTCCAAACCGATGCGCTCCCTTGGCCGGCATGTGGTGTCGAACTCATGGTAGCAAACCCCGTCATTTTTCCCGGTCGAACACGAAGGTTGAATATCGCTCAACTTCACATAACAGATGGAGGATCAGATCTTTAGCCTCATAATATATTTTTTGTTGTTCAGGGAATTTCAAACATTGTCTCCAATTTATTATCTTGCGACATGCTAATGAACGATGATTGCGTTTCCACTGTTTTAGCGCAGTTTCTGTGCCCAAATGCCCGTGGTACTCATTTTTAGAATACAGAGCAATAAAATCTGCAACCTCTAGTAACATGAATGAATATTTTTCCAGTGGCTTACACAAGCCAAAATCAGAAAGCGTCACCTCGGGCCCCAGAGGCTCTTCATCGAAAATAGGCGGACCGTCGTAGAGACCGTCCACTTCGCCGGTAAGACGCTCCTCGACCTCCTCGGGCCCTTCATCAAACACAGGCGGACCATCATACAATGGCCCGTCAACATGCTCTTCGTTGAATTCGGGGATGTCTACACGAAACGGGCCCTCCCATCGACCATAATCACGATCAAATTCCCAATCGCGTCGGGCACGAGATCTGTCGACGATGGCAGCTTCCTTGCGCTTGCCTAAATCGTCGCGTTGATCGTCGCCGTCCACGAAGACCGGGCCCCGTCGCCGCATGTCACGGCCGCCGTATGCAGCGAATGGGTCAGCCTCGACGTGCGGGGGTGGAAAATCGTCGAAGGAATTCACCTCCGAGACTGTCTCCTCGCCGTCTTCGTCACCGGACGGTGGTTGTGGAGATCTCCAGCGGGGCGCTCCGCCTGGACCACGGCCTCCACGTCCTCCGCGAATTCCCCGGCACACGCCCCGGTTTCCGGCGTCACGGTACGTTTGCTTATCCTCAACCACGTTGTTGATCGTAAGACGCACTTATTCGATCCCCGTCAAAAGATCCCCAACCCGACGATCCAATTGATTGATCTGGCGGCGAAGCCCGTGGCTTGTCGACCCAGATACTCAATGGTGGCGTAACGCCCGTCGATGTCGTCCTTCCGCGGCGGCATCTTGAATCGTGCTGACTTCTGATACCAACTGATGTAGGGAAAGCGTCTCGTAAAACACGTAAAACGAGATACCCTCTCAATAAAACTCACAATATCAATTCATCTTTTATTCATAATTAACTGAATAAAACAATAGATGGGGAGCCCTTTAAATAAGACTCCTAAATATTATTCCTAACTTGTCCAACAAGACAAGATCTTTAATAATAACTAAGTCTAACTTATTCTCTAAGATAATAATAATAATAATAATAATAATAATAATAATAATAATAATAATAATAATAATAATAGCAATAATAATAATAGCAATAATAATAATACTAATATTATTCTACACCAGTATTTGATGGTGTTTTTTGGTTTATAATTTGAAGGTTATGTGTCCATTTATAATGTTAACTGATCCCATGGTGAAAATGTTTTGTTAGTCTATTGACCTTACAGTAAAAATTATGTACCTCGTAGTTTGAAGAGCCCCTCTGTTTTTTGGGACAAAATGAGAAACTTACATGCTCTTTTATGAAGTATCAAATACTTTGTTTGAAAAATATGTGCTCAGTTTGTGTTGTTCGAAAAAAATATAGCATTTATGCACGACTCCTGAGTGAATCATTGTGTGCACTTGATAAATTCACAAAATTTGATTATTGTGATTTTAGTTTTAAATTTTTTTGTTATTTAGATGAAAACCAATATTGAAAAGGACCTTGATGAAAGGGAAGGAGGTGAAAAAGATAACAAAGGTGGTAGAGTTAATTGGTCCAAAGAATTAATATACCTCCTTTGTGATCTTTGTATATGCTGAAAGGAGTAAGGGAAGTTGTTGAGCTGTCATAGGTCAAAGATTAACATGGAAAAATGTGGAATCTGAGTTTAAAAAAAGAACTAGCTTGCCATGGGATAAAAATAAATTAAAAAACAAAGTGGATTGGATGAGAGCTAGGTGGAGTATGTGGAAATAGTTGAAAGGCAAGGAGACAGGATTAGGATGGGATCATATAAAAGGAAAGATTGATGCTATTGATGAATGGTGGTCTTTGAAAATTAAGGTTGGTTTACTTTTAAGTTTATATATATATATATATATATATATATATATATATTTACTTAGTTCTCATCTTATAAAAGGTGTAAATCTTAGTTACATATTTTCATGTGTTACGTTGATAGGAAAACTCCAAGTACGAAGTGTTTCGAGAAGAAGGGATCGAGACAGAACTTGAGTGTAAAATGGATCAAATTTTCGCTATTTCTGAATTCATACCTCCTGATGTGTTCAAAGATGTTGAAAATAATTCTGCACAAGGTGATAGAGAAATGAGGACTCGGACAATGGCAAACGTTCGTAATGATATAGCTTCAAGTTTGATAACATCTAGACGTCGTTCTTAGAGCATTTGTTTTTTTTTTTTTCTTTACTTTTATTTTTTAATTATAATAGCATATATTACAATTGAGTCACATTTATATTTTCCATTAGTATTAATTGTTGTTGGCTTTGTTTATATGACGTGAACTTATTTACTTGATTATGAAATATTTTTATTTTATTATTAATTATATTTCTTTATCATATTTAAATTATTTTAATAAATATTTAAAATGTTAACTATTTCCAATTCCTGAATAATTACAAGTTCAACATAAATTCGAATAATAAAATATGTCGATGTCCTTATAAGCAATTTTACATATTAACAGGTAATTAAAAAAGTTAATTTTACCAAAACACTTTTTTACAAACCGCTAACACAATCAATTAGTCAAGACATCTAAATCAATCTGCTGGTCAAAACAGCTAATACAATCAGCCAACAGCTTATTACCAAACAAAGCCATCAACTTTGGTCACTACATAAAGGGAACATGTTGAGCTGGAAAACCAAGATTTTTTTAAACATTATTATAATGCAAATTCAAAATCTTACTCAATCTTCCCTAGTCACCTTTATTTAAAGTATAATATACAGACAACAAACGAAATGAGAAAAAGATGAAGAAAGATTGCATTATATAAAGTATAAATTTCAAGCAAGGCTAGAAATATTAAAAGCACATAGTTATTCAAAACCAAAAGGAAGTTCACAAATAACAAGCAATGACACAAATACATGAGAAACATGTAGCATCCCGCGACCTTTTGTTGAATAACCAGACTCTGCCATACAAGTGATGGGATAGACCAATGTTAAAAACAGTAGTAACTTAACAGAATCTACTTCCAAAGCTTTCTCAAAGACATGTTTTTCTCAGTTTCCTTCTTCATAACCTTTGCTACGGCCATCTCAAAGTCCTCCTGAGTAACGTGGACCCTCCTCTCTCTCAGAGCAAACATGCCTGCTTCAGTGCAAACAGCCTGCAAAACCAAAACAAACTTCAGCCTAATTTGATATTCTGGAAGAAGGTCAAGGTCCACAAAATTCGAGGGGGCAATGCCTAATTTGATATTCTGGAAGGTCCACAAAATTCGTTTCCAATGTCTAGTTGTAGTCCGAAATTTCTAATTATTGTGTGGCGGTGTATATGATGTTACCTCGAAAAGTACAAATAACTGGAGACGAGGGACTTGTACGTGAAAACAGACATGCATTGAAGAGATATACATAATTCCCAAAAAATAACTGAGATTTTATATATAGTTAGATTAGATATTAAACATCAAACTTGATACTTACAATTATATCCCTGAATTTATAGGAAAATTTTTAGGTTTTACTAATAAGGAGGCCTTAACATAACCATCCTAGAGGACAAGTTGGCAGCAATACTCACTTCATGCTACACAAACTAAATTTCAAGATATGTAACACTGTCCGATGTATGCACAAGTACTTGGTAATAAAACCAGAATGCGCAAACATTCATGGCATATTGGCATACAATATTGCACAAAATTCCATGTCATTTGCTAATGAAGGAAGACGCTTTCCAGAAAAGCTAAACCTTTATAAAACAGATCTATACTTTTGAGGTAAATAAAAAAATATAACATTAATTGTACCTTCAATTCAGCACCAGATGCACCACTCATCTTCTCAGCAATCTTCTTGAGATCAATCCCTCTCATTAAGTTCATTTTCCTCGAGTGAATCTTCAATATGTCAAACCGAGACTGTAAATGTTTCCAAACAACTAGCGTTAGAAAGTCAAATATGATGCCAGTGTGTAAGGGCAAATAAAGGTGAATAAAAGATGAGAATCCTCAGGTTTTTCTAATTTTGTTTCAAGGATATTGTATCAATGATGCTATTAATGAATAATGACAATATTGAGACCATAAAAATCAAATAGAAAGCATAAGAATAAACAAGAATCATAAAAATGTATCTCTGATCACAAATAGCTCACATCTTCATTAGGATTTGGGAACTCGATTTTCCTATCAATTCTTCCAGGCCTTAGAAGAGCTTGATCCAGAATGTCAATTCTATTGGTAGCCATCAAGACCTGTGTAGAACAAAGGTACCAAACAATAATTACCATTTCCAGTTCCCAAATATGAACTTAAAACCACTAGATAGGGCGATTGTATATGGATTGCACAGTAAAAAAAACCAATCAAAACTCAAATTTAACTCAACTTTAACTCAACTCCACTATTCCCAATATTTTTAATATAATTAAATAATATCAACCAATTATTCTTACACATCACATCAACTTTAATTCACTATTCATTCACTCACATAATTTTAACTAACCATCACTTCCAATCATTTTCTCCTACTTTTATGTCAAATCAACTTTAATTATTTTACTTCAAATATTATTTTAATATATCCACTAACAACTAACCACACCACCTTTTTTCAAATTTAACTATAATTAAGAAAAAACCAGTTTTCTACTAGTTGAATTCATATCCAATCAGGCCCTAAGCACCCGTTATTTTCTAGAATTAAATAAATAAGTAGGAAGAAGAAAAAGGAATTGGAAAGGTAAACATAAATGGCAAGAAAGTAGATGTAATATCAATAAGAAAATTTCAACATACTTTTATCTTATTAGATGCCTCAAATCCATCCAGTTGGTTGAGAAGTTCCAGCATAGTTCTCTGAACTTCACTGTCTCCATTTCCACTCCCAGATTCCATACGAGCAGATCCAATGCTATCAATTTCATCCATGAAGATTATAGATGGGGCATGTTCTCTGTCAAAATGAGATCGTCACCAAATGCAGATTATAGGAGTATTTCAAGTGAATAATATCCAAACGACTCATGAATGGATAAACTAACCTGGCCATCACAAAAAGTTCTCTTACCATCCGAGAGCCTTCTCCAATGTACTTCTGAACTAATTCAGAGCCCGAAACTCGGATAAATGTGCAGTCAGTGTGGTGGGCCACCGCCCTTGCAAGCAGAGTCTTACCCGTGCCAGGAGGACCATACAGCAACACTCCCTAAAGCAATTGAAAGGTATAAACAATTGGAAATGCTTTTAACAGTTCATGGAATAAATGTTTCCTTATTGCACGCATTACCTTAGGTTGAGCAATACCCAGACTCTCGAACAATTCAGGATGTTTGATTGGAAGTTCAATCACCTGTACAGGAGAGCAAGGAAATGAAGATCATAAATTTTATAAGGATAATAATAAAGATCCAGAATCCATACATGATAGATTCCAAAAGATACATATCAAACTAAGATCATAAGACACAGTTTAATTTCCTGCAGAATTAGAATAAAGTCCTACAAATTTCTTGTAAAGGTTCCGATAAACAATGGAGGAGAGGAAGATATGGGATTCAATTGAAGCAAAACCTACCTTATAAGCTCCTATGAAAGTGAAATTACATATCCTCAGTAGCAGGAAGAAAGTTCAAAATAAAAAAATTGTATTATTTGAATGTCCTGGTACCACTTATCCACCTCAACCATCTTTCTTAAGCATTCAATTCTACCTAATGAACACATTGCATCGTTCCAGTTATATTCCTCTAAGACCATTAACCAGCTGAACTTACGTAGATCAAAAACACTGACAAGATTGAACTTTGAATTCTAACTAAAATTACATTGTATTATCTGTGCCACAAAAGCACAAACGAAAATTGAGGAATGCTTTGGACAATTTCCCACAAACAGCACATAATGGTGAGCGATCCATTGCAAATTAGCAAGGAACTAAGATAACAAGAAACAGAAAATTCCAGGATACACACCTCTTTTATCTCTTTAATTTGCTGGTCTAGACCACCAATCATGTCATAAGTGGAATCCGGAACTTTTTCTACTTTCATAAGATTCACCAGCGGATCAACTTTACTAGGTAGGATCAAGTGGAGCACATAGCTATCATTACGTAAAGCAACCCTTGTTGAAGGGGTAATCTTTGTGATGTCTATGCTCTTATCAATGTCAACTACATATTTCCCCTCAGGATGGACCTAAAAAAAGATGGCACAAAATTCAATATTAGAAAAATAATGGCAGTGTAGATAAAAGCTTCTTTCACTAATATTGGTAAGTTGAGAAAACGTGAAGATCATTGTCCGAAAAAATTATGGAGATCTGACAAAGGAAACAAAAGTACAAACTGAATAATTTCTTTCAGATAATCTATATTCTCACACCCACTTATTCATTGTAAGAGGTTGGACCAGAATTAAACTTACTCTTTATCTTAATAACTGTTAAGCCAGGTAAAGAACATGCAAAGACATCACACCGTTGAAGAAGTCGAAATATAGAGAATAAAGAAAACTGTTCTATATAAAAAGATCTAGTTTCCTGAGAAGCTCCATTAAATCATACCACTCTAAATTCAATCCTCCTCAACAAACAGTTAATAAACCCCACTTCTTGAAATATGAAGACTCGGAAACTAATCACAAACTCTTCTCCAAATTTGCAAATTGTATTTTCTAGTCAGATAAAATGATAAAAGCCCCCTCTTTTGGGGAAAAAAAAAGGAGAGAAAAAATAAGAACCAAAGAAGGTCCAAATTAAAATCTTGAATAAACACTAGCATCGATCAGCACCCATTAACTATGTGATCACTATATATAACATCAGAGTTGTGAATGCACCCTCATATGTAAGGATTGTGCTGTTGCAGAAGATATGAAACTAACCTTAACAAGGACCTTAGATTTTCCCATTACTTTGACAACTTCTCCCACATAAGATCCA